CCCCCACCCCCCCACCCCCCACCCCCCCCCCCTTCCACTCTCTTGGTCATGCAATTATAGAACATAGGAAGCAGCGCTTCAAATCACTCCAAATATTACACAGGAATAAAGTCTTCAAATCACACACATAGTCTTCACACGATGAACTTTCCATGGCTATCTTCCACAAAAAAGTCTGTCACTGTCACTTCAACACTCATAAAACTTTGAAATCACCTTTTCAGGTCTTCTTCCACTACAAACCTCCCATGGCTGTCTCGCACTGAGAACTCACTCTGAGTACTGACTTCTTAGTCAAAGTCAAAGTCAAAGTCATGTTGCAACTGATGGCCAGTCAGTCAGTAAGGCTTGGTGTTGAGCACCCTCCTGGGGCTTGTGACCAGATATTTATTATTGTTTGACAGTTACGGTCTTGTTTTTTGTGGGTGCCCTCTGTGATGAGAGGACAAGTCTGTCTTTTGTATATGCTGCTGGTCATTACCACTGCAGTCTTTCTTGGGTCCGAGTCCCTTGGTAGTCGAGACCATATATTACTGTCTTAAATATGAGACTTCCCTTTTCATCACCTCCTACAACTCGCAGGGTCACGGTGGAGGTATTCAACCCTGCCGCCGCACGGGTGTGACTTCTGAGGAATTCTAGTCTCTCCTATAAACCCTCACACAGACACACAGAAAACACAGCTTGCTCTATTATTATGTAATTGTTGCATCTACAAAGGTGTTGCATAGCAACGCGTGGATTAGCTGCTGCTGAGATATGTTTACTGCAATGCTGCCTAGCAACGAGTGTGGTGCGGCTGGGCACAGCACAACACAAGGAAAACACTGCTTTCCTTGTTGTTGCATCATTGCCATGTTTACAGATTTCTGTGGCTCAACGGTTCTTGCATGGCATAAATACGCCACAATATTCTGACAGAGCACAACTTTTTGGAAACCAGATCTGTTTCTCTCCCTAGGCGAAAGGGTGGGGAGGCACGTACTCAGCTGAGCTTGTTAGAAAAATTAGTCGAGTGAATGAGATTAGCTCTTTCTGAAGCACAGCTGTACTTTATGAAGTTTGCATGTTGCTGTTTTTAACTTAGACAAAATAACTATAACAAAATCTTATATTTTCCAGCAGAATCTTTTATTGAATGATCTTGTGCTGTTTGCACTTTATTCTAATGGCTGGGATGTTGATTTTGGTGAAGGTTATAACTTAAAAATTAATGAATTTGAGCTAACTACAGTGGTATGACGTACATAATGAGATTCATTAAAACCAGAAGACAGTAGAACATACAAATTTTGTAGTTTTCAGAAAAAGATGGAAGAAGAATTTTCTACTAGTCATTCAACATTGGGTCGATATTTCCTGGACTGGTTCCAGAAGTTTGAGAACAACATTGATGGTTCTGATTCCTGGTTTGAAACATCAGGCCGTGGTCTGACAGAATACTGGGAGTGTGAGGGAAACCTTTTGTTGGCATGGAAATCCGGAGGATATCAGAAAGTCCTAGATCTTTTGATGGTAAGACCTCATTTGTATAGTGTTTTTTCTAATGTTTATCTTTATGATCTTGTGACTGTACTTTGCCTCATCATATCTGGCAAGGGTGACTGAATGAACTTGTGAGAATTGGGAGTACTCACTGGGCAGGTTGCATTCTCCCCAAGGAGGAGATGGTGAAGAAAGTCCATCATGAACCATCATGTCAGTTTTGTCATGGCTGAGTAGGAGATATGGAAAATTCAGCTCTGGACACGGTAAATCATAGTCTGTAGACTTTAGCAGAAGGTGCTTACTTCCAGAACAGCGTTTCTCAGCCTTTCTTACATTATGTGACATCGCATCACACCAAGTTGTACAGGGTATTGTAATTTAATTTTTAAATACGCTTAGTGCGGTGTGGAGTCCAACTGGGTCCACTCGGCATGGCGGCCACTGATTGGCCTATTGTAACCTGCCCTGAGTGATTATGATGGAGAACTAGGTGGAATGAAGATTGGCAAGGGAAACTGAAATATTCAGAGAAAACCAGCCCCAGCACCACTTTGTCCACCACAAATCCCACTTGACCAGACCCAGGATCGAACCCAGGCTGCCACGGTAGGAAGCCAGCAACTAACTGCTTGAGCACTGGGTATTGTAAGTTTGTGTACATTTGTTCTTTGTTTGTAGCCAGAGTAGTGTAGTCAGTATAGTGGCTGGCTATGGGCTGGACGACCCAGAGGTTGGAGTTTGAGTCCCGGTGGGGGTAAGAATTTTCACTTGTCTACATAGTCCAGACCGGCTCTGGAGTCCACCTAACTTCCTATCCAATGGGTGCCAGGGGCTCTTTCCTGGGTGGTAAAGCGGCTGGAGCATGAAGCTGAACACACCTCCAACTAATACTGAGGTCAAGAAAATATGATCTGTACATCCACTCCCCCATACGCCTTCATGGCTTAGTGCTTAGTTAAGGACTGGGACAACTTTACCTTTTTTATGTGCATGCATACATAAAATAGCTTCATATTGAGATCTGAAATAGTCACACTACTATGCTGAAGACAGAGGCACTATCATTCTTTGAAGTCATGATAGCCACCCAGCAGACTGCATGACATCCTAATCCAGAAGTCCACAGTAAGTGTATTCATATTATTCTCCATATGTCAAATTATTCTTTGTGCTTCATATTACATTCCATTGATGTAATTTCTTGTAATACACATTACAGTTTACAGAATCCTATACTGAATTAACAACATATTAGAAAGGAATAATTAAGTGACAAGCAGCAACTGACAAAATATTAAAATTAAAAACAGCTACTCTGAAAACACACAGTATGTAAGAGCTGTAAAGGAATATGGAAAACACTGATGCAGCAACAGTGTAATGAAGAATAAAATAAACAGAAATTCTAAACACTGAAGTATGATGATAAAACATTTTTTATTTTCTATTAGAATATCCTTGTGAAGTATGAAATTGTACTGATATTATGTGTGTGCATGCTGTTTGCTTTGTAAAACCCTATTTGTTAATTTTTATTTTAATTAATCATTGAAACATCCCAGAAGTCTCCATTAGTTCAGAAATGAGAAGTCTCATATTTTAGATTTATGTTTATACAGGGTCCGGCAGGGAGCTGTGATGTGTTTTTGATGAGTGTAAAAATGGGGGTAGGGGGACTAGGCCATGTGCAATAGTTGGCAGTTACTCGCTATCAGACGCCATTTCAGTAGCCATGGAACTGTGGACAATTGAACATCGCGCCTTTGTTTTTGAGACGTTTTATTCAGACAGGTAGTTTGGCGCATTTTCACTTGTCAGGAAGTGTCAATAAACAACATTTCCGGTATTGGTTCGCAAACAATCCCCAAGAACTCCATCATTGCGAGTGAGGCACTGCGTTGTGTGGAATTGCCTGATTCGGTGTAATTGGGCCTTACTTTTTCATGAAAGGCGGACTCACTGTAACAGTAAACTCACAGCGTTATGTGACAATGTTGCACGAGTTCTTACTGCCTGAATTGTGAAGGCATTGAATCGACCTCACTACAGTTTAGTTTCAACAAGATGGGGCTACTTGCCATACCTTAAGAGAATCAATGACCTTATTGACAGAACATTTTCCTGGGCACCTCATTTCAAAGTGTGGGGATGTGGAGTGGCCCCCTTGATCCCCAGAACTTTTGGTGTGCGATTCATTTTTATGGGGCTGCCTGAAAGCTAAGGTTTACATCGACAAACCATGCACTCTTGAGGCCCTTTCAGATGCCTTCACCCCAGAAATTCGAGCGATTCCACTTGCTAAGCTTCAAAGAACTATGGACAACTTTTCCGCTCATCTGCACCAGTGCTTGGACAATAACGGCCGCCATTTGCATGATGTTATTTTCCAAAAATGAATTTAAATTTTCTTATTTTTAGTTAAAGAATCTTAAATGGCATTATACATCTACTCTTTAAAAACGATAAAATTTGCTATTCGTCAAAAAAATAACTGTGTACTAGTTTTCTGAAAACCATCACACCTCCCTGCCGGACCCTCTACCATGCCAGTACATGCATAGTGCATTTTGTATAGAGCTGTATAACAAATTGATACACAACAAATTATTCTTCATCAGACTTATATTTACTTATTAGTCAGAAAGCATTCAAATTTAGTTCCAAAGTGGGATCCTATAAGCAATTTCAAGCAAAATGTGAACAGAAATACAGTATAATTTAAATTAAACCATTGATAAATACATTGACATATATTTTTTATTATTAATATTTTCAGCATAAATATCCAGACAAAAAAATGGAAGTACCTGTTGATTGTCATATAAAATACGAAAAGGAAGTGACATATATCATATGGAAGAATTTGCCAGGAGATAAGGTTACTGTGGAGTGTTCTGATGGATCATCATATACAGCAGATCATGTTATAGTTACTGTAAGTCTTGGTGTGTTGAAGGAGAAAGCATGGTCCATGTTTTATCCAGCATTGCCACCACGAAAATTAAATGCAATAAAGGTGAGTTGATTAACCATCTCAGTTCACAATTGTTAGTGAATCCAACAAAGCTGATTGAACACAGACTCTTATGAAGGTTCGCATTGATGCATCACAATGATCTGGCATGTTTTACGCAGGTGACTTCTGGCTATCCATTTTTTATCTAATCGTGCACAGATCGGGCATAGTGGTGTTTTCTATGTGTACATGTGTGTATAGGGAGTGTTATGGGTTCTCACTACAATTCGTTCATATTGTAGGACTGTTAAAGGGCTGAAATGGGGATGCATAATAGATCATTGATGGTTGTGGTACAAGGGCCGGTGAAGGCCTACCCCTATTCATTAGTTTGTCAATTTGTTCATTCAATCATTCATTCAACCGAACCATTTAAAATATTATATTTAAGCATCCTGTTGCACTCCATACGATAAACGATATAATGATACAAATTCCGTCCCAAGTGCAAACAATATATTATGTGTCCTTGATCATGCTCCTCTACACTACATGTTTCGGCCTCAGACGGCCATCATCAGGTGTATAACACTCACGTTGCTGTCACACTGCACCCAGCCCAAAATTTAACATTTAAAACACTTTCCTTGACGTTCCTGTAGTAGCACTATAAAATCTTTAGTTCTAATTTTAAAATCTTTTAAAATTTAGAGAAAAATAACAAGGAAAGTGTTTTAAATGTTAAATTTTGGGCTGGGTGCAGTGTGACAGCAACGTGAGTGTTATACACCTGATGATGGCCGTCTGAGGCCGAAACATGTAGTGTAGAGGAGCAAGATCAAGGACACATAATATATTGTTTGCACTTGGGACGGAATTTGTATCATTATATCATTTATCGAACCATTTAAAGTTTGGGTTTACAGCAAAAAGGATGCAGAAAAGAGAAAACTTAATTTTTCTTATTTGTGGCATCGAAATTGGCAGTGTATCTTATAAAAAATGGTAAAAAACTACTAATACTCCTCTTTGCAAAAGCCATGTACATGAAACTTCTTGAAGTTAGTGAGGTCTGTGATAGCTAACTCACACACACGCACACACTCTCACTCACTCACTCACTCGCTCACTTCAGCCAAGTCCTTGAGAGGCCAACAGTTGCTCGACCACTGACTGACTTTCTGCTAAATTTCTGCTGGCCCTTTCAAGGACAGTGATTCTCTATTCCAAGTCTGTGGGACTCATGACTATATTTTTCTGTGAGACAGCTCTAGGAGCCTTTGGAGTCACTAGTCACAGGACCCAACCACTCAATGAATTCCAAGCATTTTATCTAATCCAGAGGTTCGTTACTTGTTCACAAAAGCCTACCACTGGTCTCTACTTTGAGCCAGATGAATCCAGTCTATGCCCCCTCATCCTATATCTCCAAGATCCATTTTAATGTTAGCTTCTCATCTACACCTGACCCTAGTGGTCTCTTTCATTCAGGACTTCCTACAAAAGCCCTGTATGCACTCCTCTTCCATGTGTGCTGCATGTCCATCTCAACCACCTTGACTTGATCATTCTAATTATATTTGGTGAGGGGTACAATTTATAGACTTCTCAGTATGCAGTTCTCTCAAGCCTTATATTATTTCATCTGGCTTCAGTCCAGATATCCTCCCAAGTACCCTGCTCTATAACATCCACAGTCTGTGTTCTTTCCTTAACGTCACAGACCAAGTTTCACACCTATACAATATTACAGGAAAAATGATATTTTTGTATATTTTAATGTTTTTGTTTTTAGACAACAGATGAGGAGATCAAAGGTTTTGAAGTGAATGGTAGCAAGTGTTACCTGAAATTAATCTTCTCTTAATTTCCTCATGAATAAAATTTTTATTTATAACTGTAGTTCTGAGATCAATGATAAATATATATAATTAACTACATGTATATAATGGCAGAATTCTGCCTGTCTTGTTTGTCCCATCTCATTTTTCTTAGGCTAATCCTAAGATTATCAACTGACAAATCCAAATTGTAAACCTTTCGTTATCCATCCAAGAATAGTAGCATGTCCACATGTAAGTATGCTTTATTCAGCAATCTCCAGGTGTAATTGTTCCAAGATATTATCATGTTATCACTGTCATTACAGGGTTTGGCTATTGGATGTGTGAACAAGATATACCTGAAGTTTCCATATCGATGGTGGCCAGAACCATATTCTGGTTTTAGCTTCCTGTGGACTGATGAGGATAAACAAACTTTCAAACCATCAGGGAGCACGGGTAGGGTGTGTATTACTTTTGCATATGTGTTAATTTTGAAAACAGATTTTAAATGTATCAGAAGTTCATCAAAAATATTTTTGTTTTTTATGAATAAGTTGTGTGTTATGGCTGCTCCCATACTTTCTTCTTTCAGTAGCTGACCACTCTATAATGCAAACTCTTGTGACCGGAAAGCAAACTGAGACCAGTTGTTTGCGTACTCCTCGCCGTTAAACGGATTTTATCCCAGCATCTGTTATATCATGTTTGTTTAGTTTGTATTCCCTTTCAGAATCTAATGCAGGTTATGATACAGGGTCATGGTGATGAACATGAAGGACATGACATTGAAGGATGGAATTTGAACAGTGTCAGTAGTGCCAGATCCATTAATTATTACTGTTCATATCATAGCATAGCATATTATTATAAGACTTACAAAGTTGAAGACTAAAAATGAAATTCTCTCTTACTACCATCTAATATATCCTTTTTCTGGTCCAGAAAATCTGTTTGCTCAGAACCCTATTACTGAGATCTCTGTGTGTGTGTGTGTGTGTGTGTGTGTGTGTGTGGGGGGGGGCACTCACATATGTGTGTGGCCAGTCATGTGTATATATGCTGATATGACTGTAGGAGTGCATATGCACATGTTTGTGCATACAATTATGCATGTATGCACACATGATTTTATTATGTTGACATTAACTGATGAATAATTGTAACTTGACATGTGTGATATTTGACATGTACTAGTAACCTGAGTTCTGTTGTTTTGTGTCAAAAATTTGAAGAACCGAATTCTTTGACCTCCTAAACTGCGCTCCTCCAATGGTAAGTGCTGTTAATAGTGGAGTTTATCTGTTGGCATGCTCTAAACCAACTGATTCTTCTAATTGCTCATTGTTGACATATTTTGTTTCAATGGTGATAGGGTGTTGGTGGAAAGCATTGGCTACAAGACATATTGGGGTTTTATTCTGTGGACAACCAGCCTCTTGTGTTATGTGGCTGGATAGTAGGACCTCCATCACGCTGCATGGAACATTTATCTGATGAACAAGTGATACAGGGGTGCTTTGAACTTCTGCAGAAGTTTGCTGGAAAATGTTTTAATGTGACTATACCTAGGCCTGAATGTATGGTGAGGTAAGAATTTTTGTGTTCATGGTTGCCCAATTATTCATTCCTTTTTTTTCTCAAATCTTATGTATATAACTGACGTGTTGAAGCATTAAAGACATTTTAACTCAGAAACTTGAATTAAGAAAGAAAAAAAGGATGAGATGGGCAAGGCATAGAGAATGGGGCAAAAGAAAAAGAAAAAGTTGTCGTTGTGCTTAATTAAGCATCATGTCATGACAGTTAATATGGAGATATAACTGTGCATTCTTAACCTGGGTGAAAAATGCATGCAAAATTTTAGTTGGAAAGCTTTAAAAGAAGAAACCACTTGAGACACCTTTGCATAAGTGGGAGCATGATATTAAGATGGGCCTTGAGGAAAGTGTATGTAAGGTGTGAATTGGATTCATCTGGCTCAGAATAGGATGCAGTTGTAAGCTTTTGTGAACATAATACTTAACCCAATTGGTTCCATGAAAGGAAGGGAATTTCTTGACAGCTAGGGCAACTGTTAACTTCTCAAGAAGGTCGCATCCATTGTGATAATAGGTAATTAACTTTAGTGCCCTCATTTTTTATGATATATCTGATCATTTTAGTTTCCATAGCCCTTTCACAGTTGTAACTATATGTTGGTGTTAATGCAGTGTCTCTCAAGTATATACTCAGCATACTACAACATTTATTTTAATGCTGACTCTATGGATAGTATTGTCATGTAATAGCGGCTAGATACAGTTTAGATCAGTAATTGGATTTATTGGACTCTTAAAACTCATAACTGGAAATACCCATAACATTTACATTAATTTAGGCACTTTACAATTCCCTGCAGCATGCACTAAGTCTTCGGTCTGCTGTGTCTTCACCAATCATCGCTTGGTAATGGTTCCCAACACCGTAGATCCCTCAGTTTCGATGTTCATGTTCTCACCTGCTACCAGTAGTCTCATAGCTCCTCATGGTTGCAACTTCTGGCCATATTCTAGTTGCATCTGACCACCACTGTTACGACTTGGAATCACAAGCTAGCGCCCACTTCCAACCCAGAGCTCATTCGTCTCGTCTGTCTTGAAGCCCCAATAAGCTCTCCATATATAGCCTCAGCATGGTCCAACAGAGTACATCACCTCCAGCAGTCCCTCTTTTGTTTTGTGTGTATCTCTTTCAGTGGTTATGAGATTTGGTTACTGTGGGAGTGTGTTTACAGAGCCCTTGCCTATCTACAGCCATGTCTTCTGGTTCTGGTATCCAGGCTTCTAGCAGACATGTCACAATATTGTATAGAGATTTTTTCATATGTCAGAAGAAAACTATCTTTGTGTTGTTGCCTTTTATTTTTTATGTGTTTTTAAATTGCCTTTGCAAACAGACGAATATTGGCAATAGGTCAGTTTGTGTCTACTTTGATGTAATGCAGACAGTTGTTTGCCATTATAATACTGAAAACAGAAATGGTCACCACATGCAAAAGTTCTGAAAAATCGTTTTAAATGCATGTTTTTAAACGTTTGGTCATGTGTCCAGTATTTTTGTTCTTATAGAAAAAATATTTTTCTTGTATTTCAGAAACATATGTGACAAATGATTAACTGAAGTGATGATACATCTTTTCTGCTTGAACTAATCAGTTGTAACACTGTGCTGCTATTATATTTGTATCAGGTCACGCTGGTCATCAAATCCTCACTTCCGTGGCTCGTACAGTTTTCGCAGCATGACATCAGACAGGCTAGGAGCATTTGCATCACATCTGGCTGAGCCTTTGACCAATGATGATAAGAAGCCAGTATGTATATAGTATCTGCTGTTATGTGTTTGAAAACTACATTAGAATATTTGAGATATTTCTCATAGAACCATCTTTTTTTTTTCTTGGCACTACAGCCCCAGTGAGCCTAGGCCTACCTCCATGAACTTCTCCATTCACTTCGGTTTTTATAGATGTTACACGTTTGGTAGGACTCCTTGGGCAGGTGATCAGCTCATTGCAAGGCCTCTACCTGTACACAAAGACAGAAAAACGCACACACAAACTAAACATTCATGACCTGAGTGGGATTCGAACCCACGATCCCAGTTTCCAAGCAAGCGAAGACAGTACATGCCTTAGACTGCTTGGCTACCATGACCAGCCATAGAACCATCTGGCAACAAGTAATTTTAGGAAGAAGGGGTACGAAATTTCCTACAATACATAATCACTAGAAAGCTGTTTGACAGGATGATACACATGAAAACTGGGATTTAGAATGTTAAACAGTTTTAAGCACTCAGAAACTGTTGTAGTTTGAGAATTCTTACGAAGTCAATTCCCATTGTTTTCTGAATGTAAATATTTTAAAACATGCAAAAATGCATCACTCAATATCCTTTATAGGAGAAAGCAAATATTTTGTTGTTCATCTCTTAACTGTTAAAATAATGTTGTCAGTTTGGTCATGACACATCTAGACAGTGAAGGCCAGGAAATAATACAGGGCAGCAAAGGTACTGGGTCTGTGTTATGAATAGTAAAATCTTGAAGACAACAGTTTGTTTGCTTTAAAAAACAGGAATCACCAGTTTGGAATATGTGGAAGTCAGGTATTGTACCAGTTCACAAGAAAGATGATAAAACTGACTGTAGTAATTATTGGGGACATCACTGCTATCAACTTCATACAAAATTATTGGGGATCATCAGTGTGGGTTTTGACGTACTAGATCAACTACAGATCAGATCTATTGCATTTGTCAGATATTGGAGAAAAAATTGGAGTACGATGAGACCGTACGTCAGCTATTTGTAGACTTCAAGAAAGCCTATGATTCAGTTAGGAGGGAAGTATTGTACAGTATTCTGACAGAGTTTGGGATACCCATGAAACTAGTTAGGTTGATTAAAACGTGTTTAAACGAAACATATAGTAAAGTCTGTGTAGGTAAACATTTGTCTGATAAATTTCCTATCCAGAATGGTCTAAAACAAGGAGATGCTTTATCACCACTCCTTTTCAACTTTGCTTTAGAATATGCCATTAAGGAAGTCCAAGGAAACCAGGTGGGACTGAAATTAAACAGGACACATCAGCTGTTGGCCTATGCCAATGATGTGAATCTACTGGGTGATAATGTAGATACCGTAAAGAAAAACACACAAACTTTAATTGACGTAAGTAAAGAGGTTGGTCTAGAAGTAAACACAGAGAAAACTAAGTATATGTTGTTGTCTCATCACCAAAACGCAGGCCAAAATAATGACACAAAGATAGGAAACATGTTTTGAAAATGTGGCACAGTTCACATATTTGGGAACAATGATAACAGATCGAAACCTGATTCAAGAGGAAATTAAGAGGAGATTGAACTCGGGTAATGCTTGCTACCATTCAATCCAGAACCATTTGTCTTCTCATCTTCTGTCGAAAGACATAAAAATAAGAATATACAAAACTATAATTTTGCATGTGGTTCTGTATGTGTGTGAAATTTGGTCTCTGACATTAAGGGAGGAACATAGACTGAGGGTGTTTGAGAACAGGGTGTTGAGGAGAATATTTGGACCGAAGAGAGATGAACTGACAGGAGGTTGGAGAAAACTGCATAATGAGGAGCTTCATAACTTGTACTATTCTCCAAGTGTAATTAGAATGATCAATTCAAGGAGGATGAGGTGGGCAGAGCATGTAGCACAAATGGGGGAGACGAGGAATGCGTATAGGATATTGGTGGGAAAGCAAGAAGGAAAGAGATCACTGGGAAGACCAAGGGGTAGGTGGGTGGACAATATTAAAATGGATCTTAGAGAGATAGGATGGGATGGTATGGATTTGATAGATCTGGCTCAGGATAGGGACCAGTGGAAGGCTCTTGTGAAGGCGGTACTGAACCTTCAGGTTCCATAAAATGCTGGGATTTTCTTGAGTAGCTGCAGAATTGGCAGCTCCTCCAGAAGGGCTCAGCTCCGTGAGTGAGTATGTAAGTAAGATGGAAATGTGTTCACTGTGCTATTGCCTGTCACTGGCCAAATCTATTCATTAAACTATTCCTGCTTTCAGCTCCTATGTCATGGTATTCTGTGTTGTTGTTCATTAGGTGTTGCTGTTTGCTGGTGAAGCAACACATGACCACTTTTATTCAACAGTGCATGGTGCTGTGGAGTCTGGTTGGCGGGAAGCAGACAGGATCTTCACATATTATAAGTGAGTAGTTGTGTTGTTTTTATGGGAAGTTCTGATTACTCTAGTGTTGCATACTCTGCAGTTTTATGTGAATGGGATTTGGTTATCCTTTGTGAGGGTGGCAAGATGTCCTGGCATTAAAGGACCATCCTAAGTTTTGTTGACATGATACCATTTCTTGCAGTTTCAAATTTTAAAGTTCTTTTCATTATGAGTTTAAGGGAAGAGATAATTTGTTGAGGAACATTATAGATAATGTTGTGCACTTAATAATATTCATTCATTCATCAGTAATCTGTCAAGACGACAGGTGCACAGTCTCTTCCAAAACAGTTCCTCCACTTCATGCGATCTAGAGCTTCCTCCTTCAAATGAAAATATCCTCTTCTGTCCCCAAGGTCATCCAGCATCTTCTTACGTCTTCTGATCACTTCTATCTGCCCCTCTATCTTTCCTTCAATAACTTCTTTTAGAAGGCAGTTGCTGCGTAAGATATGACCAATTCAATTAGCCTTCCGTTTTCTTATTTCATGTAGGATATTCCTCTGCTCACTGACTCTAAATAACACTGCTTCATTCTCACATAATCGGTCCAACTGATCTTCTCCATCCTTCTCCAACACCACATTTCAAAGCTTTCCAGGTGTTTCTGATCTACTGCCCTAAGTGTCCAAGTTTCAGCCCCATACAAAGCCATGCTCGAAACGTAGCATTTCACTAGTTTCTTTCTCAAATTTAAGTCCAATATGCTGGTAAAAAGATTCTTATGGTATTAAATTAGATTATCAAATGGAAGTTGTATGGGCACTGATAGATCAGAAATAACAGGTTTGGTTACTGTATCAGCTGCAAAATATATTTAGAATCAAACGATATCAGAAAATAACTAGATGACTATATATGATGAAGGGGAAAGGATTGGAGAGGAGGGATAAATGGATTTTAACTTTTACTGTACAGAAATAGGGTCTTTAAATTACAGAGTTAGTTAGTTAGTTAGTTAGTTATTGGAGAGGGTGGGTTTCCCCATGCGCTGAGACCAGTATTGGTCCATTGTGCTTCACTCTATGATATTCTATCAGTCTCTATACCCTACCAATATTGGTGCGTGCCATCAGTCCCGACCGAGCCAGCGAGTTTGGCCTCTACTGGCTTGGCGGTATCTATAATGCTTCCCCCATCTATCAGAGGCGTTAGAGACTACTGTTGGGCGGGAAATGTCCTTGAATTTAGCTCAGTGACCTCCTTTGGAGATATGAGGTTCTTTTACGTGCCGTAAAGCTACGACACGGGACCCACGGCTTAAAGTCCCTCCTGGAGGACTTGTTCTCTGAATTTTTCCGCCCTTAAAAATTTGATGACCTCCGCCGGGTTTCAACCCGCGTACCACAAGTCATGAGGTGGGAATGTTACCTCTAGACTACGGAGGCCGCTAAATTACAGAGTTGGTCAACAGGTTTCTTTTTCTCTGTTTGAAGTAACGGTATTAGTGCTGAAAAAATTATGTACTTGTGAAACCATTCCTGCTAAAATATTGTAGTAAAAATAATTTGATGAAATGCCATAGGGTGTTCTGTAGTGCTATTTTTTACTACCGTAATACTATCACGTGACAATACTATTCCTATTGCTGGAATAACACAAAATACTCTGTACAGCATGTAAATACAGATGTACAACTCTTTCACATGTGGAAATACTTCCCTTCTCACATTGTGTTGGACGCTTCAAGCTCTGGGATTGTAAAATTGTCTGTTTCTTCTCGGACCAAAAATGCGGTCCTGCAGCAGACTAGTGATTGATGTTTCAAGCTTCAAGTGGCACATCAGTTCATTTACGGGTTTGGTCTTGGGGGGGTGGGATTGAGGATGAGGCTCCAGTGTGCTATTTTCCAACAGATTTTGGACCAAAGTCAGAGTCAGAATTTCCTATTACCTATTTTTTCTACCAAATGATGATAGAATGATGTAGCTATTCAATACAATTGGATCCTTACTTTTTTTGTAATGAGACTTTCATTACTGTACGTGCAACTATCATCGTTTGCTGTGTTTTGCCTTTCCTTGCCCAATTATATACTCATAAGTACAGCCAGTCTTGTCACAGTTCATAAAGCTTCATGTTCCTTAGGAACAGATTGCTTGATGATACCTTCTTTTCAAGAGCCCTGTAATTTTGTACTCAGCTAAATATTGAGATTGACTTAAAATTTAACATGAGAATCATTCAGCTTATCAAAGAAATATCTAATTCTACAAAGTGTTCAGTAGTTCTTGGCAATCTTATCTGGTATATTCTTGTTGTTACAAAATGTAGATATCTCCTGTATAGTCACTTTGTGAAGTTGTGGTCATATCTCCTCATTGTGAAATATGTTTAAATATTGATCATAGACATGTGACTAAAACTTCAGTCTTTCAGATTAGCTGTGACACCCCTAGGGTTGGTATTTATGTGTAACTGACAGCAGGAATCCATAGTGGAAGTTTTTATATAGCCTTGGGCATAATTTTAGCAAGCCAGTTGCTGTAGGATGGGTTATTAATTAAGCATTCCATTAATGCATCCTTCAGTCAACTGGGCGATATGTACCATAGCATTAATGTAATATATGATACATAAAAGGTAAAGATATTCTTTCACAGGCTGCCTCATTCTATGTACACCCTCTGCCAGGAATGGCAGCCCCAGGGTGGCATTTGAAGAGGGTTCCTTCTGAATATAGAACAAATGCATTATTGTTTGAGCTAATCTGCCCACTTTGCTCCTTGAGACACATAAAAAATTACAAATAGATAAGTGTTTGTGCCCAAATGATGATGAACTTATAAAGTTATGTCTCGTAAACCATGCAGCAGACTGTAACAAATTTTCTATAGATTTAGGGACCTTCTCCAAAGATTAGGATACATGTGGATACCAAAAGAAAAGACTGCAGATATTTATTTTTTGTCAGTGGTTTTTTGCAGAAATTTCACCATCTTTCAAAAAGTGTATTTGAATAGCTACAATTTGTTGGGGAGTACTGCTTAGCAGAATGCAATGCATGAGGAAGTTTATTGGTCTCTCACTGCTTGATAATAAAGGGCTCGGTATATAAACCATTGATAATTGAGGAGCTTTTTCAAGGAAATAGAAGCTCCGGTCTAGAAAACTGAAATTAACGGCCGTGGGGATTCATTGTGCTGATCACGTGACACCCTCTATCCCCTAAAGTTTGCATTAACTTCACCGACAAGTGGCGGTCGCTCAGTCGGTATCGTTCGCTTGGGGACTAAAACCACAGAGTTTTTTTGACACCCTCTATCCCCTAAAGTTTGCATTAACTTCACCGACAAGTGGCGGTCGCTCAGTTGGTATCGTTCGCTTGGGGACTAAAACCACAGAGTTTTTTTGTTTTGTTTTGTGTATAAACCATAAAGTTTACTTTCCTATCTCATAGATATAAAATCTTACACATGTTACTATGAGTATTATTATTAATTTACTCGTATTTTATTTTTTATAATGTGGAACATTTATTTTATTATTTTGAAGAACTTTTTTATTTTATTACTATTAAGAACCTATTGCTTAAGTGCAGATTCTATCTACATTAAATTTGTATTGAGTGATGGTACTATTAAATATTCTTTTTATGTTTTTTGTGTGTTTTTATGGCCTCAGTTCAGGAACTTAACTGTCACACTGTGTATATCAGTTTCTCAACTGCAGATTGATGTATGCTATGTCTGGTTTTGGTGTGCTACTTTTTATTCAGTGGATTTTTTGTTCAGTTTGATTTAAAGTATGTCTCATTCACCGTTTGTCTTTATGACTTGCAGTGGTTAGTGTTTGTTTCGTTTGTGATGTTAAGGAACCCATCTGATGATGATGAATTTTATTTAGGGATTCAAAATCTTCTCTGTGATATGGGTGTGGTGTGTAATGTTAGTCCAGAGAACGTCGTCATCTCAAAATCTGCAAGGATGAACATTCATTAATATTTTAATCACATCTAAGATAAACAATGCATGGACTATAAAGGATCATAGTTCTTCAATCAGCTGATCCTCAAAACCAATGCTGTGTGAAGATTTCATCTTCTACAGTATACTCCAAGGCAAATCTATGATTCGTATGTGACAGACATGTTCTGTTGTGGTGTGGAAGATTTTGTAATATTCTAGATGGACGAGTTGTGCCCTTCGAATCAGCCATATTTAATCATACTGCACTAGAACATAGTAAAATTTGATATCTCCCACTGTGCTCAATGAAATAAAACTGTGTATCACAGATGTTTTGATTAGCTAGTCTGTGCTGTTCTGCAAAGGGTTAAGGGAAACTGAAATTGTTCCGAAAAATTATGTTCAAACCTTGATGCATGGTTTCATTATATTCTTTGTTTAAATAATCATGGGTATTATGGTCCTTAATTTTCTATTTTACTTACTTGCGATTGGGGGGGGGAATGTTTCTTTAAGGTTTATTCCATATGATTAGAAGAGAGTAATGATTGTCAAGGGTGTATTAAAAATAATCTGCTTTTAAAATCTTTTTTCATCACAAGATTTTCAGTAAAGTCATATTGATATCTAAAGATATTTTATGGTGAGAATTCTGTTTTCAATACAAATTAATTTTTATAACTTTGGACATTTAGCAAGGATAAGTGCAGTGCACACAGATCTCAGAAATTCGTTTTTGAAATGTATGAAGATACAGCAAAGCTTTGTAAGCATGGGAGGAAAAAGTAAAAATTGGACTGCATTGCCATTTAAAAAGAAAGAATGCAGCTACACAAGTGAGTGTGACAGGTCTTCCTAAGTAGGTGGGGTAAGGTTATGACTAATATGTTCTCCTGTCATGCTTCATCTGACAGTGTAAATACCAGGACAATAAATACTGGATGTAAAACACCACAGGTCTGTCATTAGCCTTTATTAAAGAAAAGTGAACATTTGTCCCACTGTATGTGCATTTGAATGGCCAAGTGGAACAGACCATACAAGTGATAGAACCCAGCACTTGTATTTTGA